CAGAAAATATCACAAATATCTGATAGTATTACTACACATTAAGGTAATTGGCGCTTTTGATAACAAATTAGTTTGAGCTCGTTTACTTAGAAATGTAATATTATGTCTAGATGTTATCCTAAGTACAAAAAAATTATTTGAGAGAGCAACAATGCGCAGTCAATTTCACCATTTAACAATTTATGCAAAAACAAAACAGATGCCTGATTTCTACGTGTTGATGTAGTAAATCTAGGTAGTTACAACCTCTTGGAGGATAAAATCCATTTAATTTAAAACTTAAGAATTTATTTTGAATTTTCTCAATAATGTCTGAATAATGAATGTATATAGGATGCAATATTATTGATGAATATTCTAATTTTGTTCTAACTAAGCTAAAATATAGAGAAGTTAATGCCGAGAGACTATTGAAATTCTTACAATTTCTGATTATATAACCATATGCACGGTACGCTGAATTCACAATAGAGTTAATGTGAATGTAACTTGACAATCCAAGTCAACACCCAAATCTTTAATAGTGTCTGTTCTTTCCAAAATAATATTAATGGAATAAGGAAAATTCAGAGAAATATGTTTGCGGCTATAAGTCACAATTTTACATTTAGAAATATTTAAAAAAAGACGATTTCTGTGACACCATTCCTGCAATAGGTTAATTTGATTTTGCAATGGTAAACAATCAGCTGTACTAGAGATACTGGTATATAATTTTAACCTATTGCATTCAAGCGAGACACACAAATCGTTAATGAATATTAAGAACAATAGATGCCCTAAATTGGACCCTTGAGGAACTCCACTAGTTGAAGTAAAGTAATTAGAATTAAATCCATTATAACAAACAAATTGTTTGCGCTTAGTTAAAAATGATTTAAGAAGATGTACATAAGTAATATCAAAACCTAAACTAGAAAGCTTTTGTAGAATTATTTTGTGACTGATTTTATCGAAGGCCTTAGAGAAACATCTGGAAAGACTGAAGTTTTAATGACTAGATTAAAAAGAGTTTGTAGGGGATACATTAATACTATTAAGCAATCTTTTAAGAGAAAAGAAGGTATTTTGTCTGAACCCGAAGTGAATTTATTTTTTAATTTTTTACCAGCATCTAGGATTTCTTTTTCCGTTATTGCTTCACTACTAATATTTAATAGCATATTAGGATCATAGCTAAGTTGCAAATTCATGTCATCACTATCTTCTGGCAAAGAATAGACACTTTCAAAGAATGTACTAAATGCATTCACTATCGAATGAGGATTATCATACCATTCATCATTATAGAACATTTTACCAGGAATTCTAGAAGTTTTCTTTTTATTATTAACAAATGACCAGAATAACTTTGATTCATCAGATAGCTTGATCTGAATATTTTGTAAATATAATGCATATGCTTCCTTGATTTTAAGTTTGATAATAATTCGAAGCCTACTAAATTCTTGACTGGATATTTGTTTGAAATTTTTAAAAATTGGAACATCCCAGGCAGCACACATTAGTATAACTAACGTATTTTATACGTAATACTCGTTTCATTTTGGTATTGGTTGATTCCGTATACGTTTACAGTTTACGAATATTATACATACCGTGTTTTAAACGATATATTATACGTTTTTAATATACATCCTATGGTATATAATTGTAAATTTTGCTACGTTTAAATATAGTTAACAATATACGACTATTTTTAGTTTGCGATGAACTATTTATATACAGTGGGCCTAAATATACGTTAAGGTTTATTTAAATTAAATTCGGATAAATTTACATTATATTACAATATGTTTTCTTCGTTTATAATTCCTGTTTAAATTTCGTCTTGGTTGATTTTTTAACAGATAAATTAAACGCGTCTGTTTGTCTATACTAGTTAATATACCTATATTATTCTACGTTTAAATATAAGTCACCTTAAACGCATAATACCAGTTTATGATGAACTAGTAGACAGAAGTAAATAATATGTATATATTTAGGTTTATTTAAATTAAAAGCTTATAGATATATTTATTTACATTACATCCATATTTTTTAATTATATTACCTGTTATATTTATAACAAATTCCCCATACACTTGGAACTATTTTTAGATGGCGGATGACGTACTAGTGGTACGGTCTTTTCTCATTTCTACTCATGCGTATGTGTAGTATTATTGTTCAGTGTAGGGAATGGTTTGTGGGAGCAGGTTCATCGGTTCGTCCATTTTTATTTGTGTACACGTTTTGTTGCTTTGGCGTCCTGGCTTTTACGATATTGATTAAAATCATAGGTATGTGTTCTATTAATGTTTTAATTTAGCTACTCCTTTAATAATTGTTGCATTTTACAACAACTACTGTTTTATAGGTACGTACAGTGTGTTAAATGCTTATAGAAACTTCAAAACATAACCTTAATTTTGTTTCTTTTATTTTTATACGTATTTTTTAGGTTACCTAGTTATTCCAAGCATACTTATTTTCCTTTTTTTTGGTCAGTTGTTTTTTATTTAATAAAATGTTTAAAATAATCCTGTCTCTGCGTCATCTACGTAGAAAAATAGCGCAAAATGTTCAAGATGCTTTAAAGTCAAATCAATTTTGTTTTTATTCCCAATGAAGCTTCGGACATTAATATATCATCTGGTTCTATTATTTATAATAATTTCCAAGAAAATAATACAAATTTAACTTCGGAGCTTTTAGAAAATATTTCACCTGAAATTGAGTTACATTTTGGTTATAGGAATGGTGGTGAACCAAGCGACAACCGACCGAACGATTAGGTGTGCCATGCAAGATTAGCTTAAATTAGCTAAGGCCCGTCTAGGACACAACACGTCCAAAGTGTTAAGCTAAGATTTTTATTTTCATATATATTTTTTGTTAGTTAAAGAAAAGTTTCGTTTAGTTTGTTATTCAGTATTTTAGTGTTTATTTTTTTTGTATTTATTTATTTTTTAGTATTTTATTGTTTATTTTTTTTTTAATTAAATATTATTCTGTACATATAACAAGTGAACAAAAATTTTTTTCTAAATATTTAGGCCAATTACAACCAAAATAGAAACACGAGTAATGCCTATTTCTGGTGTATACACACCTGCTATGGATAAAATCCAAACTATCATTTAAGAAATATTAACATTTTTCCATGGCCTCTTTTAGAAATTTTGTTTTGATAACTTTATTTAATTTGTGTTTGAAATACATTTAAAACAATATCAGGTATACGCATTTTACACATTAATAAAAATCATACAAATATATCTAATATAGACGTATAGTAAAACAGGATAATTAAAGGTAGATAAAGTAGTAATGTTAGACGTATAAAAAATTAAAAAAATATACGTTTATAGGGCGGACATTTTCACATATTATATTGGGTAGCATATCAACAGTATCCATACGTATATTGTAGTACATAAATAAACGTATTTTATACCAAAGTGAATTCGTATAAATATACTACAACTATAAATCTAATATAGACGTATAGTAAAAACGTTTAATTATAGGTAGATAAATTCTTAGTAATCGACGTTTATAAGGCGGACATTTTCACGAATATATTTGGTAGTACATCAACCGTATTCATACGTATGGTAGTACCTAAAAAAATACGTAATTTATACCAAAGTGTGCTGCCTGGGATGTTGATCAAGTATATCATAAAACTTATTATACAGTGAGCACCATAAGTCTTACCCCCCTATCTAACTCGTTACTGGAGTCTTGTTAGGAAAATCGCCGAGACACGTCGATTTTTGATTTCTACAATGTACATTTTTGTATAAATAGTTTACCCTTAATTTCATCCCTTACTGGAGGGGAGTAACCCTTTCGAAAAATTTAAATGACATGGGGTGGTGAGTGATAGCTCATTTGAAAGAGGGTTTTATTCTCTATTCAACCGTGTAAAAAAATTTGAAATTTGCTTCATTAATTCTCGACTAATTGTTGTTTCAGAATAACGGACATTAACGTAGCGCACTCATCCTTAGAATTAAAATTCGGCCCTGCATGATTTCGGTTTTGGTTCAGACGTGAAGTAAGACTTTTTGCCATTAGAAGGTCACTGTTAGTCTAGTTGCTTTCCTATTTTGTGAGGTTCTGTTATTTTTAAACATTAATAAATCAACACGTAATGAAGTAAATTTCAAAATTTTTTGCACGGTTGAATAGAGAATAAAACCCCCTTTCAAATGAGCTATCACTCACCACCCCATGCCATTTAAATTTTTCGAAAGGGTTGCTACCCTCCAGTAAGGGATGAAATTAAGGGTAAACTAATCATGTAAAAATGTACATTGTAGAAATCAAAAATCGACCTGTCTCGGCGATTTTCCTAACAAGACCCCAGTAACGAGTTAAGTATCGGCATTCAATAAACCCCTGTATATTCAGAAATAAGGCGATTTATCTTTTGATCTACAAATACGGTTTTTATAAAGGGTGGTCCATCTAGTGTGTTTTTTTTTTAGTCATATGTTATTTTGACACTGAAAGCTTTTTCCCGCTCGAAATCTTGCCAAAACGTTAATATAATATAATACCTTTCCAATTGACTCAGCATGAAGGTACATGACCATCCGATACGTTATCGCTTCTCAATTATAGCAGCTCGATATGCTTCAAAATCATCTTCATATTCATCTAGGCGGCTTTGTTAGCAAGCAAAACTGCAGCATCTGGAGATCGGAAAACCAGCACGTGATCGTCGAGAAGTCGATGCATCCTCAGAGAGTGACAGTTTGGTTGCGGATTTTGGAGCGGCGGCATCATTTGCCTATTTTTCTTCAAAAATGCTGCTGGAGACGCCATTTCGGTCAACGGTGAGCGCTACAGGGGCATGATTAACAATTTTCTGTGGCCGGAAATTAAAGACATGGACTTGGACAAAATTGTTTTTGGTTTAATTTTTTTAAACTTTTTAAATGAAATCACTATATGGACCACCCTTTACACAGTGATATACCGGCTAATAAAATATATAAACTTACCTTGCGAGTGCCTTTTTGTAATACGTAACAATCTGCTTACGAAAATGTGGGATTTGTGAGGTTATGTTGTACTGTAAATACTTTAATAAAAAATTCAGCTCCCAGTTAAGGAAAACTTCTGTCGATTTTTGACAATCAACTAAAGCTGCTAATACTGATATTCTTATCTAAAAAAAAAACATTAAAACTCATTGATTTTATTACTTTTTTAAACATAGAACTATCGATTATCTATCAAATTAAAATTATATTCTATATATATATAAATTAAAATCTTACTTCTTCATCCGAATATATCATAAAATTTTCTAATTTTGGTTTCTCAATTAAACCTCTCCAATAAAAACCAGTTTCTTCATTTTTTTCCAGAGCTAATTCCGTACTAGTTGCACGGGCATATTGAAGACATTTTAATAGAACCCTGTATTCATGCAGATCCCCAACGTGATCATTTGAGAAACTAAAAAGAAACAAAATTGTTTTATACACGAAAAATTACTTTACTATCAGTGAGACAGTAATATGAACTAGCGTCTGGCCGGCAGGTGAACTTGGCTCTCGAAGTGAAAACATTTGTAGTAATCGCAGTCATTTGTCTTTTTATTTTAGTTTATGATGTGCGTCATTTCAATTTAAGCTGTGTCCAGGCCGTTGGAGTATATGCCGGTCGCCGTAGCCAGATACGAGTTAAAATTTTCTTGTTGTATATTTTCTTATTATTAGATACACGCGACGAAGTCGGGAGCCAGATTAACGAGTCGGCCAGACGCTAGTGTAATATGATGGTTTTATTTTTGAAGTATCCTAAAATAAATAATATTGTTACTTACATTTTTCGTAAAACAGTAGGATATATCTGAAAAGCTCTAGTTAATATATTTTGACATAATGGGGCGCAATGAGCGCATTTTGACAAACAATTGGTAACAGGCGAAATCCATGTGGTCATCCATGTTTCATTATCTACCTCTTCGTAATATTTTTCCATTAATGCCATATAACACTTACATACCTGATACAAATAAACCAATTGTTAAATTTTCAGAAATAAATTAGATAAGCATAACTTTACATATTAAAATTAGTTTAAATACCTCTTCAGATATGGTGAATTCTGAAATAACTTTAAGCAGATCTTCTGGAACAGTGGAGAAATGTTCTAACAAATATACACAACCCATGTTCAGGGCTATATATTCAAGAGCCAAAAATTTCAGAGTGTGTGTGTTACTTAAATGTTTAACGTTCACTAAGAGATTATCTGATAATGTATGACATTCTAAAATCAAACAAAAACAATCAATAATAAAAAGAACACAAATTATTCAATTTACATATTTATTAGTTTAAGGGATGGTACTTTTAGTCCTGAAGTCTCGAAAATACCTCAAGTCCATTCACTTTCTTTGTTTAAATGTAAAATGGATGAAACAAAAAGTTACTAAATTTTGACACGTCATAGATTAATTACATCATATTATGTCAGATGGCGTTATCAAAATAATTTTGAATTTGTCAATTTGTTAAAAATTTGTATATTTCAAAAGTTTTTATAAGTATTCAACAAAATGGTGAAATGATTTAGTTAATCCTAAACGTAGTTTTCTATTTTAAAAGACACAAATCGCGAGGCTCTTGGAAAGAGATACAATCAAATGGCTGCAGAGACATTAAATATTTCGCAGAAAACTATCTATAGTCTTAGTAAACCAACAAATTCTGATACAGAGTATGTGAAAATAATGTCTAAAAAAGTAAGCCAAAGTAAAACAAAAGTTAATTCTTTAATATTAAATAAGTTGAGGCAAGTTATGTATAAGATATACGAAGGTGCGTAACATGTAATAATGAAATCGTTACATAAACGATTTTCCGAAGAAATGTCTGATGTGAAATGTCCTGCACGGTCAATGAATACATGGATTTGAAAAATTGGCTTTCGCTTAAAAGAAGTAACAGACAGTTTTATTGGAACGAACATCGATTCAGTTAAAAATTTTAACAAGGAGAAGGGCTGGATAACTTTAAGCCTGTATTTATGGATGAGAAGTGGGTATATAACAAGGCAAGTGACAGAAAAATTTGGCAAGCTGGAAAGATGGCTACTGCAAGTAAAAACACAGGAGATTGAATTCGATACATAATTGTTTATGGCGGCAATGAAGAAGGGTTTATAAAAAAATGCAGATCTCATATATACAGTGTGTCTACTTAAGTTGGAACCATATGGTTTTGTGAAAAAAATTTATTCTAAATAAAAAGTCCTGCATGGTCCAAAACTTAAAATGCAACCATCAGATATCAATTTTTTTAAGCTGTATACGAGGTTTGCCAAAAAATATGAATTTTACTCAAGAGTAAAGTACCTTTATTTTTTACAATGCAGAAGAATATTATTAAGTAAAGTTATTTTAAATTAAAAGTTATATTCAAATATGCAATTACAGTCATTTAACATGAAAATTCAGGTTAGGTGATTATTTACGTTTAACATTATAAATTATTTGTAGTTATAAATTAATTAATCACCAAACCTGAATTTTAATGCTAAATGGCTGTAATTGCATATTTTAATATAACTTTTAATTCAAAATAACTTTACTTTATAACATTCTTTTGTATTGTAAAAAATAAAGGTACTTTACTCTTGAGTAAAATTCATATTTTTTGGCTTTAAGGTTTTTTGGAACTATTTTTGCGCAGATTTTTCTCATCCCCAATTCATTGGTCAAAATTTGATGAACGGTGGTGTGGTCAAATTTAACTCTTCCCCTATCATTCTGACTGTCAACCGACGATCTGAACGCACAAGATCCCGGATTCTGTCGACATTTTCATCGGTTAAGAGTTATCTTATTATGATTCGTTGCACTAAAAATATCTGTGATATTGAAAAGGGCTGTTTCGCAGCTGTAATTTGCTCTAAACCCAGACTGTACCTCAGGAAGCAATTTATTTTCAACTGCATATTTTCTCAAGTCTTTCTATTACTTTAGATAAAGTTGGGAGAATACTAATGGGCCTAAGGTCCTTAAGTTCTTGGGGACTAGCTTTTTTAGGTACAGGGATGACAATGGCCTCTTTCCATTTGTCAGGAAATGTTCCTTGTTCTATGCAGAAATTTACTATGTGTTTAATATAAGGTATTATATAAGGAGAACAATGTAAGAGAAGATTTATGTTTAAACAATCACTTCCCATGGCATGTGTTTTTATGTTATAAAGAATTTTCTGGATTTCTATATATTGTTTGTTGAAAAGCAAAAGTTGCTGCGTTTGGTGATACATTGTTAATGTAAAAGTGTAATAATTCATCTGATATGTCCGTTTTTGGAATACCATTTATGTAATAATCATTAATAACATTCTCATTACTCAGGTTATCTGGTATGGAAATAGATTTTCTCTTGTGGAAGCCCATAGAATCCAATACTTTCCAAACTTTATTTGGTGAGGTTACAACATTAAATTTATACTGATAATATGCTCTCTTTTCATTCCTAAAAGCAGTTGTTGTATAATTTCTTAGTTCTTTGTAATAATTAAAGTGAGCAGGGTTTTGGTTTTTCGTCATCTAGCTTGAGCTTTATTTCTTAAATTAATCATCAGTCGTAAATTATCAGTGAGCAAGGGACAATATTTTTTTGTTCCCCATTTTTTAACGAATTGGGTAAATAGGTATCAAAGACTACTGTAATTCTTTTTGACCCATGTTTTCTTCCCTCTCGTAAGATTTGAGCAGCAAAGACTTCTCCCAAATCATTATGCGTATGCGGGACGCGGAGAGATGTCTGCTCGTTAGAAAGCACAATAATTAAACGCGGCTGCAGAAACTTTCAAGTTTGTGTATTTATTGCTTGAAAACTATGATACTTAGAATAGTGATTGTTGTTTTAAAAACTTTCTTGAAGCTTTAGCTTTATTTGGTACGCAGATAGTTTAGTGAAATTTTGAAATATAAAAAAGTTTCTCGATTACTGAAAATAGTGCTGCAAAAAAGTAAAGATTAAAGTTTTGTCTAGTTTTACAAAAAAAAAACTATGTTTTCTATACTAATGAAACTAACGCAGTAATCTCCGCTTACGTTTCTTCTGCCGATTAAAAAAGAAACGTTGAAAATATCTTGTTTAGTTCCGGAGATATCTCGAGGTATGTGTGAAAAAGTAATAAAACATAATTTTGACAGATTTTTGACAAATTTCGCAAAAAAAATGTTGTCCCTATTAAAAAATGTTGTAATTGCCGATTTCAGATGGCCAGGGACCTAGACTATTATTTTGTAAAGACCAAATGTGGTTGTACCTTAAAGAAAAAATTGAAACCTTTCTGCCCGTTTTTAAGTACACTATTAGGAAATCTTAAATATAAAAAAAATAATTAGTGAATATGGTGTACCTCAAGGAAGTGTGCTCAGCCCTTTACTGTTCATAATCTATATCAATGCGTTCATCATGTATGCAAAAAAGTCTTTGTACATTTTTTTGCAGATGATACGGTAATATCTGTAGCCGGCAAAAATTTGAGAAAATAACTAACATTCTCAACAATGAACTGAATTTCTGTATGATTGGCTTTGTGGTAATATATTCAAACTAAGTTCTACTAAAACTAAGTACATGGTATTGGGAACTAGGGCAAATTGTCTGAAGTATAAACGAAATAAATCACTTGAATGTGTAAATGAAATCAAATATTTTGGAGTCATTATTGATCCACAATTATTATTTACAAATCTTGCAGAATATCTATGTAAAAAACTTGGCAAAAAATGGCTTTTTTAAAAGAATCAAGGATTTGACACAGTGTGAAAGAATGCTGGTATATAACACAATTATATATCCGCATTTCAACTAGTGTGCTTTCTTCTAGCGAGACCCAAGGCTACAGATTTTACAAAATAAACGCATGGGGATATTATTGAATTGCAATATATACATATGTAAACACCTATAAGCACAGTGCTGAAAGATTTAAACTGGATGTCGTTAGAACAAGGTATTAAGAGATCGAATCTGATTTTTGTATATAAAATGGTTAACAGGAAAGTGACAAAATATTTGTGGAGCTTGCTTTCTACCAGGTTCGACATGTACGGGCGAATCTTATATTCTGCCTCAAATTTGAATATAGATTATACGGCGAAAGCATTTTTAAGCATTTTTGGAAGGATCTGCAGTTTGTGAAGTGAATCGACTTTTTAATGCCTTGCCAAGCGACATAAATAAAGTATTTCAGTATCCACTTTCGATAAAAAAATCTGTTTGTATTTGAAATAAAACCAATTAATTAGCTTAATTTTCTAAACTGTAATAATGGAATACATGTATTTATTAGCTTAAGCTAAATAAAGATTTATTTATTTATTTAATCATTGGATAATTACGCTGAATGAACTTAAATCTATTCGTGTGAACTTCACTAATAAAAAAATAGCAGAACCTTTCTGTCCAAATATCAACGGAAAGACTGTACCTCATGAGCTGAATGCAAAGTACATGTTAAGAAGAAAATAACTGAATTGGGATTAAAATATAAACAGCACTACTGGCTCTTGGGCAGGAACTCAAAACTGCATAATAAAATATTAAACTACAACCAGGTTATAAGACCGGTGTGGCTTTACGGCATTCAATTATGGGGATTTGGTGGAAGGAACATGCTCATCTATACAGATAGCAGACAAGTACCACGAATTTATTCAGGGTTAGTACTAGAATGTCACGAAGCTTTGGCCGAAGTATCCATCAACAACGTGGTCACCTTAAGATGGATTAAAGGTCACGCCACATCGAAAGGTAACCGTCTTGCTGATTCACTAGCCAAGAAAGCAGCCAACCAAATACTTTTTGGACCTAGCCCTTCTATTGGCCTGACAAAATCGGTAGTGACAGACCTAATCAAAGAACATTCCCTTGCCAAATTCAAGGAAAGATGGATCATGGGGCTGTCAGAATCCGCACTCTGCAGAGGGTGCGAATAAGAAGATGAGACCATCGAGTATATCCTTTATGATTGCTCGACGCTCTCATTTATTAGAAGATTTGTGTTCGGCGAGTATCGGCTAACACCGGCCAATATAAGAGAAGCACCTCTTGGCGATGTTGTCAACTACATTAAATCTGTAGGCTGGCTCACGAGCTAGGAGGTGCCTATCTTCTCAGGAGGATGCACAATGGGCCTAATGAGGCCTAAGTGCCGCGGGGTAACCCACCCTCCACACGTTACAGATATAAGGATGTGCCAGAGAGCAACATTAAGTCTATCCAAACCTTTCAGAACAAAGTATTGCACAACTTAGTGAACGCTTCTTGGTATGTGCGCAATGCAGATCTTCATCGAGATCTTGGGATTCTAACAGTGAAAGAAGAAATCGAAAGGTTTGCTGGCAAGCATGAAGCCATACTTCACCTACATACCAATGCAGAAGATCTTCAGCTGCTGGACAATTAGGACCATGTCCGACTATTGAAGAGGACCAAGCCATGAATATAGTATAGTAAAAAATTTAAATTAAAATGTGGCAAATATATTTAACAGCTATTTTGCAAATGTCGGTGAATTATACGCAAAACGTATTGTAAAACCAAACACTCCAAATCGATGTCCTGCTTTTAATCCTAATAATTTTTTTCTAGAACCTGTAGACGAAAGAGAAATTAAAAACATAATCAATTCACTCAAACCTAACAAGCCACCAGTTTCCGATAACATTAAGATTGGCACCATAAAGCACATTGCTGATGAGAAAAAACAACCCTTATTTATAATAAACAAAAAATTTAAACGGGAATATGTCCTTCCCACTTTAAGCAGTCAATAATAATACCAGTTATAATTTCTAATAAACAATATGGCTTTAGAAAAGGTATATCAACAATAGACACCATAACTAATTTGACTTCAAAAATTTACAAATTAATAGATACAGGTACCCCCACAATAGGTATATTCCTAGATTTGGCCAAGGCATTTGACACAGTGTCACACACTCAGTTGTTGGACACCTTGGAAAATATAGGAATTAGAGGCATACCACATCAACTAACATCGAATTCAAACAGTAAAAATCAGCAATCAATTTAGTGATCTAACTAACGTATCGTATTGTGTGCCTCAAGGAACTATTTTGGGCCCACTTTTATTTTCACTTTATGTAAATAGTTTGCTAAATCTAGAAATATCTGGAGAAATTACTTGTTTTGCTGACGACAGTTATTCTGTATAGTTCTAACACATGGCAAGAACTGAAACAGAATATTGAAGCGGATTTGATAAAAATAATTGAATGGTTTATAATAAAGTGTTAACAATCAATTTCGAAAAAACTTTTTTATACCCTTTGCATCGTATGCTAACAGTATGCCTGACTACCAAACGCTAACGATTAAAATCAATAATGCTGATATTAATATAAACAAAACGAATCATATCAAATACTCAGGGGTTATTATTGATTGTAATTTAAGGTGGGAAAAGCATATTCAAAATATTGCAAAAACATTAAGATGTCCACTTTTTAAATTTAAATATTTTAATACAATCTTGAGTATAAATCATCTAAAAATAATTTACTACTCACTTGTTGAATCTAGGGTACAGCATGGAATACTAGCATGGGGTGGGATTTATCAAGTTCATCTAAGGGCATTAGAGATAATCCAGAAACGTATACTGAAAATTATACTCAAAAAATTTCTTATTTTCTCAACAGATTTACTTTTTCAAGAATCTCAAGTGCTTGATATTCGCCAACTATTCGCCCATTCAATCCTAATTTCAGCATTTAAAAAAGAAATAAAGTACTACACGATATTGATCACAGATGTAGTACTAGACAAAAAACTTCCCATTTCGTTAAAATCTCGTCGTCAAGAAAGAATTTAGGACAAAGGTTTTTTACTTACTTGACACCAAGGCTTTTTAATTCACTACCAGAAATTTATAAAATATACCTTAAAACAATTAATTCCACAATTTTTATTAAAAAAGTTTTCAAAAAATTCCTAGAATTAATCATATGCCAAATAGGTACAAACTTTTTTATTTATTGTCGTCCCTATATTGCCACCATGGATCCGCAATCTCTAGAATGCACTATGTATGTGCAATCTCTAGAATACTATATACCTAATACTATATAACTAAATAAGTATTGTCCTTTGATCAAAATATTGTATTTTTAATTGAGGTATTATATTTCTTACTAACATTTATTAGTTTGCAAATAAAGTTCAACCCGTGCACAACCATTGGTTTTTACAGGAACACCATTGTTTATTTACATCTATCCCCTTTAAAAATAAATTTGTATTTTTTTTTTTTTTAAACATTATTATTATATTATTTGATCCCGTGTGTTGTGTATGTGAGAAAGCAGAGCATAGTGCGCTAGTGTCTTGTATATAGTAGTCGGAACAATCTAATGAAGATCAATGGATTTACTTTAGCTGATAAATTCTTAGTTTAAGATTGTTTCAAAACAAATTAATGGTCAATCTATGAGATTAGTTTTAATGGCAGGAGCAGTAAAGTGCTAAATGGGAAAAAAAGTTTCGTTCTTAATTATCCATCTGTCTCGCGGACAATTTGAACTATTTTACACTTCAGTGTTACGAACAGATATTAAAATTTGATTTATAAATCAGGTGCTAGAATGAAGATAAATTATTCAATAATGCTTAATCATGATTAAGTCAATTGGTTAAATTAAACACGTGATTTCGTAATCGTGTGTTTAATCATAGGCAGAAAGTATCGGCTCTAAAAGTAATCCAATGAAATATTCCCTGGGCTCAAAAATGTTTGAGCTACTCACTTAATAGATGGGCACTTAATAGTCGATTACAGCAAATAAAGAGCCGATTGTAAACATTTTAAAGTTTGTGGTTAATTTGTTGCTTGTTTGAAAGAACCCAAGTTAACTCTCATTAAAAAAATCTATACTACGTTTAAACTTACCATTAGCTTTATGGTAAGCTGCCACACCAACCATTTCAATAAAAAACAGTTTAGTATTATTTCTTACACCATCTACAAAGTGCCCAATGTGGGACCAGATAAAAGAAATAGCTTGAAAAAATAGAGGTTCTATTAAATTCAGTGGTATGTCTTTCATGTGTTTACTTATTAAAGACAACGTTCTACTAATTTCCACTATTACAGGAGGAATACTGGTTGTTCTAAAAAAAATAATTAATATAACTTTTGATCAATCCTAAATGTCATTACACTCTTGAGATATAATTAGGTTAGTACCTTTTTGCACAATCCATGAGACCATTGTACAGTACACAGAATAAAGTTTCATTGTTTATTTCTATTTGACATAATTTGTCCTTTGGCAAAACATTCAAAATTGATGCATAAATAATGGCTAATTGTTCTGATTCCCTAAAAACAGCCAATTCTTTTTTTCCTAAAGTAAATTTATTCTTATTATATTCTTCTAGTAGCTCTAGAGAAGGACATTCTTTATATTTCTGAAAATAATAATAATAATTAATAATAATAATAATAATATTCTTGCGATGAAATGTTATAAAATTGTATGTCTGATTAAGGACTCTTAGCGGCTGTATCTCAGAAACTAAATTATAACAAAGTCGGTCAAGAGAAAATACTGGAAATTATTATCAACTTTCTATTTTAACCGTTAGAAGGCGTTATTCGCCAAAATCACTTTTCCCCTTTAAATGTCCAATAATAGTATGATAATAATAAAAGCAAATTTTACAAAAGTTTGGTAAAACACTTTTTGCTCTATTTAATAAAATAAGTAGTAGGGGCGATTGGGAACCTTAATTTAATAAAACTATTGTTTATCACATTTTGAAAAACTTATCGTATCGATTAAAAGCAAACAATTAAATATTACCCAAATTAGCAAATCCCAAAAGAAGGGAGAATCGCAAATATAGTAATGAGATTAAACTTTTGCCAATTTTGATTAATTTAATATTCAATGAATTATTCAAATAGTGTTAATATATTTTTAATCTTCATAATATTTTTGAACAGAACATTAAAAATATTGTTTAAAATAATATATACTTACAAAGTTTCTGGAAAAATTATCTGGAATTACAATAAAGGAATGTGTCAAAATTAATCCTGCTTTAATTTTAATATCAAATCCGACTTTTTTATGTACTATAACTGCATGAGATAATAAAATAAGATTGACACTGTACTCTTTTGACACATCATCAATATATGGAACCTTTTTTACAAAAATTGATAAAACCTGTTTTAAAAGTACATTTAACAAGGCAAACAGTTCTTCTAATATTGACGCTACTTGTTTAAAGTCAGACCTAAAATAAAAATGATTAATAAAACATTTAACTCAAGAATATAAGGATTTTTGACAAAAAAATCAATATTAAATGTTGATTTCATAATAATCAGTTTATTCCTACAGGCCATCTAATTGTCAAAAGGAAGTCAGATACAAGCGTGTTAAATCTATTCAATGCCTACAATGTCAGGCATAATCCTACGAAATGTCAGAAAAACAATCCTATAAACTGTCAGAAAAACGAAAAAAAAAAAAAAAAATAATAATTTGTACATGAATGTGTTGGTGGATTGACAAAATTATAAGTGGTTTATAACTTGTTCAATTTGTTTGTTATTGCTATGGTTTTAAATTTGCTTTGATTTGTATTTCTTTCAATTGAAGTGAATAATTGTGATATTTTATCTTGTGTACGATTTATGTAAATATACCTACTTATTTTTGTAATGTTTAAAAATCATACATTTAGAGAGTTCCTTTGGGACAGATAATAGTTATTTATGTTTCAAGTCAGCAAAGTGATTCTTTATCGAACTAGTCTGAGATTATGAGCCGAGCGAGAGAAGCGAACGAGACGAGTAACAGACGAGTTCGATAAAGATACTATGCTGACGTGGTCCATACAAACTTTTATCGCCAACCGTAAATAATTATAATTACTAAAAAGGAAAATGTGACATTACATTTTAGTATGACAAAGTAAACAAACAGAAAAATAACAGCGAATACAAAACAAATCGGTTACAGACTATTTCTGTCAAACGGTCATGGCTATGTTGATAAATATTTGATTTTTACAGTGATATAGTGTTTATTTACTTCCGCAAATCGCTACGGTAATGCATGGCTTTATTGACGGTTGGCGATAAAAAATGTTATTAGGTATGTTGTATTTTAAATAATGTTTAAAATAGCTATTCACCCAACATATGGTTGGTTTGTTTCATTTTCATTGCATTTTGTGTTTCAATAAGTACAAGTAGCACAATAATGGAAGTGCACTCGTTAGTTTACAAACACATAGATGCACGAGTCAGATTCACATCACAATAGAGCTGTAGGAACAAAGCTAATATTTCAGTTCGGGTTTGGCTCTTGGGGATTGGCAGTTCAGGTAGAGATATTGAGGTCAAACTTGGGGTATCTGGATGTAGTTTCTCATAAATATGGAAATTGCAAAAAATAAGGTACAGTGGTAATTCTGTAAAACATGAAAATTAACGTATGCGTTAAATATTCAACCAACTAAACATACAGTAATATTAGTAACTACGATTCATCAAAATTTCCATCGGAAGTTTTTAATTCACTAAAATTAAATTATGGAATTTTTTTCGAGATTCCAGCATTAAAGTCCCAGTTAAGTGTTGTTTATAAAACAACTGAAATTAGTGATAAAAAGACGCCCATCAATGTGTTAAATGTTCTTATAACGGTTTAAATAAGTCCCTTTGTGAAGTCGTCAAGTTGTGTGAATTAGTACTAACCATCCCAGCCACAAGTGCGTCAGTTGAGCGAAGTTTTTCAGCTTCAAAGCGCATTAAAAGTGAAGACAAATTCTCTAATTTAGCCTTAATAGCCAATGAAAAACAGCTTGTTAAACAGTGTAACATTTTAAAAGTCCAGTTAAAAATGTTATTTTAATTATGTGACATCCTGTATAAATAGTTTTCGATTAATTTAAACTCAATTATCGCTGCACGCAATATTCCAAAGAAAGGGTAATTTCGTGAAGTGGGAGTACAGTAAATCAAACGATTTCGCCATTAGATTTTTAAATTTCATTTATGATTACTATCTCTTCTTATCTGGTAGTGTTTGGCTGTAAAAGTGGTAAGCATAAAAAAGTATAATGTCATTGTAAAAATATCTCGGTAGAAATAATATTCCAACCTATTGTTAATTATTAGTTTTTTTGAAAGTAAAGTTAAATTTTTCTAAATATGTTTTCATAATTCATTCTGGTTGCTGGAATTGCACAATGTTTAAAGTAATTAGTTTTTATTGTATCTTGATTTAATTTTAAAAAGTAGATGTTTCAAATTTAATTAAAATTAATCTCATACAAGAGCCACGTGAAAAATAGAATTTATTTTTTTTTAGAAAACGAATAAGAGCAGCTGGAAACTAACCGTTGAAAACTAACTGATGAAAACTAACCGCTGAGAGCTAACAGTTGAAAGTCATAAGCTAAAAGTACACGTAAGAACGAGAACGACAGAACGAGGTACACTGTTCATGCTCGAGTAGCAGAATCATGGGAAATGCGAGATTTGGTGTTCGTTCCCGAGTCGTAGAATTTTCAAATGCATCCTAAGGAAGTTGCCAGCCAAAATCAAATGTGGTAACTAATAGTGGCTAGTTTTATTAATGACGAGATAAAAGTTAATTTACCTGATAAACTTTAATATTGACCTGTTCCTGAACAGTTTCTTTTTTATTTGAATAAACTAATTCATTTTTATAAGTATATATGTTGAATCTTATTTTTTTAAAGGTTACAACAATTCTCTTTTACTCAAATTAAATTTTGTATAAGTTTTTATTAATTTCTTTTTGATAAAGCTAGAGTTTATAATTCTCACTAGCTTTCAAAAATAAAAAAAAAAAATTATTGGTGCCCAACCCTCCTAGGAAATTATTATCCCAAAGGTGTCTATTAGAAAACTGAGAAAACTATGGTCAATGTGCTCATTTCTTTTTTTTTTTTTAATTTTTAAAGGTAAGTAATGTTTGGTGTTAAATTTCTATGAGCTAGTCAAAATCTCTTATAAGTGTTTTGAAATTAACATGGTATCACAAGGTAACGTCATATATTACAACAGTTATCAGAAAATCCAAAATTTTACGACGACGATATGCAGCCATTGAGGATAGGCGAATAGATCTTAAGTATAAATAAATGTCAACTGTGCGAAAAATGCTGGAAAAAATAAAAAAAAAAACTTCGGTTAAATGTTTTTTTTACGTTTAAATAAACCAATGAAGCTTTTCAATGGTAAGTTTTTTTATAGCTTCTAGTACTAAACTAGGTAATAAAGTAATAGTAACACTTCAAAAATCTCAATCTCGAATATCCGTAGTACTGAGGAAAAAAAAGCAAGATTTTGACAAAATGGTGAATGCGCCGCGAAAGATTTTCGTCTGCGGCGCTGTGCTTACTGGCCTGCTGTATTTTTATACAATCGCTTCAGCTTTCAAAAATGTCACCGCACGCCACTGGTGATATGGCAGATTTGAGTGGAAATGAGGAATTTGATAGTAGTGATAAAAAAATTAAAGACAAGCAATTGAGATTTGTCCAAAAATTAAAGAAATATACAATTCTTCAAACGCAGCAATATTTTGTTTTGTATTTATATTGTATATTGTATGTATATTTATTATGTTTTGTATAGTTGACATGTAAGTGTACTGTATCTTATGTATTTTTTATTGTATTTTAAATGTATGTTGATTCTATACTTATGTATTTTTTATATTTTAAATGTGAATATGTATTGACATGACACGAAGACGAAATTTGAGCACGTGACCGTAGGCGGAGTGCTCAATCATCTGAGTGCGATGTGGACAATTTTTTCTACGACCCACTAACGAAAATTTACAAATAAAAAAAATATTTCAGGTTATTAAGACAAAATAACTATTTTAAAATAATTTATCACTTTTAATAAAGTTCATTTCATTTTTCGCCATCCGAGAATCGAACTTGAGTCTTCAGTGTGGAAGGCAAGAACGCTAACCACAGGACCACCTATTCTTTTATTTTTGTTGCTTTAATACTCGTAATTAAATTGACTTCATATAGTTTTATTTAAATTAACAAATTATTTAATAATTATAGACAAAATAAAAACAAAAATTCTATTATTTATCGATTCTACAAAAGAATAACCCATTTTAATGTATGTTTAATCTCAATAACTAAAAAATATACTGACAATTAGTTTGACAGAATTGTCACTTATTTAAAATTTTAAAAATAGTAGCTGTCAGTTGATCAAAATATGAACGGTGATTGGTGGATTTTTTGCAGTTTTCTCACTATCTAGAATGGAGATGAAATATATTCGTTGAAGGCAATAGCATACTTTTTCGTTTTGTATCCTATGCGTAGATAAGCTAATATCCATGTGGGTGTAGAAAAAATAGTTTTTTTTCTAAATAACGATTTATATAAGACAGTTGCTCTGATGACGATAACACACCTCCGCACGGTTGGAATAGAACCTGATGTAGAATCTGGTGAGGCGAGACGTAGCTTCTGGCAGGAGGCGCTCGATACGCACCCACTGCTTCAAGCGAACATGGACTTCATCTCACTGATATATATTTTCCATAAGCCATGATACACAAATTAAAACTCCAGCTGACAGGTAAATTTTTAAATAATGATATCTGTGAATGCTAAACCAAGGAAACAAAAAAGGAACAATAATAATTACAAAATTCTCTAATCAGGAAATAACAAAGAAGTTCCTAGATAGCCACAAAGGTTGAAGAAATGATTCAAAAATGCTCAGTTCTAAGAAGTCAATCAATAATACCAAAGAATCAACTATTTATGTGAATGAAAAATTTACAACTACTAATAGCTTTGTTCGCAGAGCCTGTCGCCGGATTTTCGGCTCTGCGAACGCCTGAAATTAAAATGTGCATGCTCATCTGTAGTGTACTTTTGGCGACAGGCTCCGCGAACAAAGCTAATAGAAAAGAATGATGGTTATAAATTCTCTTAGTAAAAAAATGGTAAAGTGTATATAAGAGAACATAATGGTGAACTTTCAGTTCGAATATACAGCGAAGAAGACATTTTTTTATTTAATTTAATTATTTAAAATTAATTCTGATGCCTTGGTAGGATTCCCCACTCGACCATTCACTGTTGGGTTCTAATCAACAGTGCTGTTCCTAAAGTTGCGCTGGTAAACAGTAACAAAGCCTACACAGAACACGAGGCTAATGGCATTAGTAGTCGATGCCGATGACACAAAAAAAAACTAATGTAAATTAAAAAAAAAATACTACGGTCAACTATGATAAAGCAGATGCAAGGTAAAGAAAACAACGTGCTTCCCGTTTGAATATTCTGGATGAACTAAACTTTATTGTTCTTTGGCAATTGACAGTTTATAATTAGAGGTGGACAATGCAGAGTAGCGGTAACTGTTACATATTATTTTGATAATATTTAACAAACTACAGACTGTTGAATAAAAAAAAATAAATACAAGTCCCAAATTTTATAACAATATTGATGAGTTTAAAAATGAAGCAAATCAATCTGGTTTTTCAATACTGCCATGGCCCTATCTGTTTAATACATTAACGTGAGAAAAATCACTTACTTATATCCATGAAAATTAAAGAGATAAACAAAAAATTCATTGTTGTCAGGCGTAGTGGTCGTATCTTCATTTCAAGGAAAATTGCAGTTACGGCCATTTGAATTAACATACTCAAATTTCAGTAAGTAATGAGATGAAATTGAAGCACTTAGTTAACTTGTCAATATACCTGATGTAATTGTTATTACAGAATCGTGGCTTTCTCCTGGTGTCGAAATCTATTTTAATTTGCCAGACTATAATATATGAATCAAGAAGTAAAACTGGAGGTGGAGTTGGCATTCTAGTAAAAGAAGTCTACAATTTCATAAAAATTTACAGATTAAGTGAGAAATATTCTATGCTATTTATAAGATTAGAACGAACTTTGTTATAGGTGCTATATAATATAGACCTCATGATTTTGATAAAAACACTATTAGATGTTTTAGAAGAAAAGTTAGGAAACATCAATAACCATAAAAAAAAGGTTCTATCTTGAGACTTTAATATTAACTGTTTAAATGTAAATGATATGTACAAAAGAAATCTTGATTATCTCATTGATTCACTAAACTTTATTAACTTAAATGATAGCATTCGATTTAGAGTGCAAAGTAATTCAAAAACTTTAATGGATTACTCTTTAAGTGATCACAGAATACAGATGATGCAAACAAAACAATATATTTCAGTTAATAATGAAAAATATTATAAATATCCTAAGTTGAATAAATTAAAGTGTAGAAGAGATCTTCAAGATAAATAATACTGTGTGTCATGATCCAAATATGTTGTGTAATTAAATAGTGAGAATAGTACAAAACAATATCACCTGTAGGACATATAAAAACCGTTTTATATCTAAAAGTTGTCCATCGTTTAACATTAATTTGCATAACCTAATCAAGCACAGAGATACATGTTATAAACGGCATAAACTTTTTCCTAATAGTGTTCTGCTACACAGTGAATACAAGAACAGTCAAACTATTTTGAAAGCAGCTATAACTGAAGCAAAAAAGCAATATTATCAAAATCAGCTAACAAGAGCGCTTTTGGTAACCCGAGAAGAATATGGTTAGTGTTAAACTTATATAATAAAGTAAAGACGAAATAAACACTATTTTCGATTTGACAAATGGACGTACTTCGAGTGACAGAAAAGTGTAATGAAAATGGCGACTTGTCATATTTTGATTTATTTGAAGTCAATAATTTTTTATTTGAAGACTGAAGGAATGAAAATAATTTTATATTATGAAACTGAAGCTATTAAAAAAATGCATTTATTCTCACCAAAACTGACTAGCTCCAGTTTGATATATGATGTAAAAATGTAATGCAAAGGTGCAGACATTTTAGCATCGTCATAGCATCTCTACTTTATTCTATCTCAATGGGTGCTGATGATATTTCTAGGGATATGATCAAATATTTTAAAAACAAGATATCGGTTATCTTAAGTAATCTAATAAATATATCTTTCACTCATGGTTTAATTCCCAATGGACTAAAAGTAGCTAAAGTTTTATCATTATTTAAAGGAGGGCCAAGAACTTCTACTAATAATTACTGACCGATATCAATGTTAAGCTCTATCTCCAAAATCGTGGAAAAATGTATTAATAAAAGGTTCGTTTCCTATCTTGAAAATAAAAATTTTTGGTACGATAGCCAGTATGGAGCAAAAGTAGCACAACTCCATAGCTCAGTTACCCTTAGTTGGTTATCTGCAACTATATGCAGATGACGCATGTATCATCAAATAAAGAATATTATAGAGGAAGATCTAACACAAATTTTTGAATGGTTAAAATTTCATAAACACTGAATACTGAAAAGACACATTTTTGAAGCATGAATGGAACCAATTTCAAATAAATATAGACAATGAACAGTTAACGAGGACAGAATGCATTAAATATCTTGGCTTGTATATAGATTTCAAGCTCAACTGGGAACATCATATAAAAAAAGAATAAAATGGAACTCAACTCATAACCCTGAGGGACTCCCCAACTTTTATGTAAAACTTGAGAATCCTTAGTAGTTTTTACCATTTGCTTACATTTTAAAAGATAAGATTGTATTAGTGCTTCGTCTTCTAATTCCATAAACTCGTTTTTGCAACAATACTGTATTGACACAATTAAACACCTTAGTCAAAACACAGGAATGCCTCCTCTGTGGCTTCATTAAAATTAATTTTAGAGTAAGCAAGTTCAAGATAAGAAAATGGTAATCAAAATAGGTGAATGGAGGAGGCGATCCAGTTTTGATATAGATAACCAATAATGCACATGTGTAATTTTTGATGGGTTTTCGCCAAAAACTTTGTAATGCACATGCGTTGTGGAACATCGCAGAGCTGTGCCATTTTTTATTAGGTCTGCAGGATCATGTAGCTTTCCACTGGTGGGGAGTTCAGTGGTTTACGAACAAAAGTATTGAAAAAAAGTTGTAACCAAATATACTTTATAAACTATTTGGTAAGCCATACATTTTGAATAGAAACTAAAAACGAACTCCAGTAAACCTTCTAATAGTAGCTTTCTATGATAAGTCAATTATTAAGTACAAAAAGTTTATATACGCTACAGGTATATAATAATAATACTCTCCCTAATTCACCCCCTTACGAGTGAATTTTAACCCCAAAAGCTGAGCTTGTGCTGGGAAAGGGACGGCTATTATTATTATTTGCCGTGGCGCTCCGGGGCGACTTAAAGATGATTGATGGTGCCATTTGACTTACAGGTGAGGAATACCCGGAAAACCTCACCCACCATCATCAGGACGGTAATGCATGGCGATTTTATAATCTGCATGTCATATCAACAGAAATTGAATTTCTATTAATACGGCACACATCAAATCCTATACCGAACCATGCAATTTAATTATAAATCCACATGGTCTGGTCTGGGATTCGAAGCCCGGCAGTCTCGGACCATAAACTTGCCTATAAATGAATATAAGTGCGTTAGACAGCTACACCACCGACCCGATGATAAACTATATCTTCTAGAGTTTATGTAATTTCAACTTTTCAAATTACTTAGGTACTTTCAAAATGTTTAATATTCACGATTTTCTTGCATTATAAATTGAATTTAACAATCAAGTCATAATTTCTTGTATCTTAAGTTTTAAAGTAACTAGGCAATTAGTACCTGTTAATTTCCAAGATTTAAGGCATACAATTAACACATTTATGTTAAAATTTTAACATTTCTGTTTATAGAGTATATATTTGCCATACAAATGAACTAATATGTTATGACAAGTTTAAATTTATATAAATTTACAGAATTGCTTTTCATATTTAACATATGTCAAATTTTTAACGTCCTTTAAATTTGAACATATTCATTCGACCCAAACTGCTTTAGCCCCAAGAGCCAAACCTGAACCAAGAATGATTGAAGTATAACAAGTAGGTCATTGGAGCTAAAAAATATTTTGTAAAATACTTGTTTTATGTTTCTTTTCCAAGATGGAGAAATAATCATTCAAGAGTAATTTTAAAATTAGGGAATATACTTACTTTGAATGGTACACAAAACCTTCAAAAACCATGTAGTATAAAGGAAATAAATGTTTAATAGCTTGTTCATAGTCAAACTTCGCAGAATTCTGCATATAATACACAAAGTTTAATAAATCTGCACACTGCTTAATATTACATTTTTTGTTTTTTGCTGCATCTAAAATCTCTTTTGTTGTTCCTTCAATTAATGGAATTATTATATCAGATTTTTTTACAACATCCTGCAAATACTTCTTTAACACTTTTTTTGAATTGAACTTAGTAAAAAACTCTAAAAAACAGTTTTTTGCTTCCACATTTTCTTGGTTAACTTTCACACTATTTAAATAAATTTCGACCTAAAGAAATTCAAAAATTGATAACTATTGAGTTAATAAAGGCAATAATATACTTACAATTTCTTTTATGAACTTTTTTTGTTCCAATTCTTTCACGGTTTTTTCTAATTCCAATAAAATATTTTTTAACTGTACGTCTTGAGTTACTTCTTGCGGACAATTTTCAAATCTTAATTCATTAATTATTATGTCTTCAGCTGAAGGCAACATTTTTTAAACAAAAATTAAAATAGAATACATAAAATACTTAAAATTAAAAGACTAAACATTATCCACGCGGTCTCATGCTGTTGCATCGATAAAAAAACGTGAAAATAAAAAAATGTTGAATGTCAAAAAACTGTCGGCATCAATCATTAAGACTACCATATAAACGACCTATTGCAGATGAAGTAGTCCTAATGTTCAGTTAGATGAGTACTCGCGGGTTCGGGTGTTACACTCAAATGTGTCATAGGTGAGTGTTCTGTGGTTAGTGTTCTGTGATGACAGTGTTCTGTGGTGATGACGTTGACTTGACATACATCATAGATTAGAGTGACAGTGACAGAACGGTAAAAATGGTGTTTTTATTAAAAAGAAATATTTTGAATTTTGAGAGATTAATAAGTGGCAAAAATAAGGAAGTTTACCAACAAATTACTATTTAGATATGTAATTATTTGTTGTACATATCAATATATATTTACAACTTTAATAGATTGTGCATTATACATACATACATACTAACAATAAAAATTTTAGTTCGTTATGGAGGATAGTTTAAGTGTGAAATCTAATGAATCGGTAGCTACAAGTGAGGAATTCGATTTTGTTGGCGACGGTGACAAACTCTGTATCAGTAAAACACCAACGTTAGATTTTCACAACGGTGATTTAAATGAGTTAACTAATGCTTTGACTGAAGTTTTACAAGAGCCAGATGATCTAGACACTATGAGTAGTGCAATAGAAACTGATGGGAAAAAAATTGGGCAAAGCACTTTTTATGGTAGCCCTGTGGAACCTGGAAAGGATCCTTTGAGCCAAGATCAGGATACTCACAGTTCATCTGCAGATACTTTCAATTCTAAGAAAATAGATTCAAGTTCTGAGGAAGAATGTAGTAGTATGTTTTTATTACTTTAAACAAATACATCATAAATAATTTATAGCAATTCAAGTGATTATTATCTTAGAGTTGCTCATTTTATTTATCAAAATTAATTTCTTTAAGTTTATCAATTTCATAATTCAAATAACAATACATTTATGTTTTAACTCGTAACCAATTAATAAAATCAAATAAACTATTTCAACATAGTGTATCATTGTATTTTAACAATAAAAAAAATAGTTTCATAAATATAAAGTTATGTTAGATTTTGTGATTTGAATTAGGTATATTTTAATTTTTTTTTTCTTTGAAATATAAAAATGTTGGGATTTTTGTTTCAATGTATAATTTTCATTTAATTTTTTACTTGTGTTATGGCTTTGGCATTGGTATTTATTATTTTATTTTTGATATTCTTTTTGTTAAGTACCTGTTCCAGTTATTTAAATATAGGTATTTTTTAGATCTACCTATACTGTAATTTATTTTACAACTGTTGAGTTAATAAACCATTAATTTATAAAAAAAATCAGTAATATTTACTGTTTTAAATAAATTATTGTTTTGATAATTTTTATTATGTTCCTGTATAAATAATAAAAGGAAAACAGTATTTTCACTTATTTTTCAATAAATACAAATTGTGAATATAATTATGCATATCATAGAAGACAGAAGAGGAATTTTGAGTTGAAAACTATGTCATATTTTTAGGCTATTTCTATAACATATTCAAAAATGTTTTGATCCTCATTTTTATTTTTGCAAAAATCAAGATGCTCTGCTAGCTTCTAACAAAGCACTTCAGTTTTTAAAGTATTTTTTTTTTTTTTAAACAACAACAGGCTAAAAGCAACAATAGGCTATTTTTAGGCTCTTGAAATATAAAACTTTGAAAACAAATTGATATTTTAAAAAAATAAATTTTTTTTTGAAAAATGTTTAATTTCGAAAGCCTACATGTGGAATAAGTAGTTGTTTTCAGAAAAAAAAAATAAACCGTGGTGCTCTGTTCACTTTGTGCCAACAAAGCACTCTCTATTATTTAAAAAGATGCACCCTCTATTATTTAAAAAGAGCAATTTTTAGTAAAGTTTTATGATATTTCAAAAGCCTAAAAATGTGTTGAGGTTGTTTTTAGAAAAAAATCTTTAAAAACTGAGATGCTCTGCTGGTTTTTTGAAAATGCCTATTTTTTTTTTTTGAAAGTTTTATAATTTTTAAAGAGCTTAAAAATATGGTGTTTTTTTTTTCTAAAAACTGCATCATTTTAAGGCTTTTGAAATATAAAACTACTAAAAAGTTGCTATTTTTAAATAATACAGGGTGCTTTGTTGCATTTTTTTTTTTCTGAAAACAACTAGGTACTTATGCCACATTTTTAGGCAATTTTCGGACTCTTGAATTATAAAAATTTTCGAAAAAATTTATAATATTTCAGTTGCCTAAAAATAACCTAAATATGGTGTTGTTTTCAGAAAAAATATCGCGACGAATTGAGAACCTCCTCCTTTTTTGAAGTCGGTTAAAAACTGAGATGCTCTGCTGACTTTGTTCGAAGCTAGCAAAGCACCTTGATTTTTGCAAAAAACTAGGATCTTAAAATTTTTGAATAGGGTATAAAAGCCTAAAAATATGGTACATGTTTCAACTCAAAATTCCCTGTGTGCTCTGCTGCCTTCTTTGACATTAATAATGCATGTACAATTGTTTAAAATAATTTAATTTATGCATAATCTATTTATACTATGAGTGATTGTATATTAAAATTGAATATATCTTTTATAATTTGAAACTAAACTCATTTTACAAAAATAACATACCAAAATAAACTTAACTAAAGTAATCCAATACAATTATAATATTAAAAATAACAAGGAAAATAAATTAAATTGAACTAGTTAACTTATATATACAAAAATATATATAGATTTTTACAGTGAAGACATTTTTTCAGACATTTCTGTTGCATTTAAGACAACATATTTTTGTTCTATTCTTATGTTTCCCACATATGTAACAAATTCCAGGTTTTAGTGGATCTTAAATGAGTACATCACTGTTTTTACATTTTAATAAAAATATAAATATCTTTAGGTAGTGATACAAGTGGGTATCTTTTAAATTGTCTTCCATAAGGATCATGATGAGGTTTTTCAGAAAAACACATCCTCTGACTTTTACGTTCAAAGCTCAAAAAGTAAGCGATCTTTACAGAAAAATATTCAGCCAAAATTAGTTACATGATAAGCCGCGCTGCGGCAATTACACCACAACTCTGACACACTTGAAATTAAAGTTCAATAAAATATAACCCGCACCGCTCAAGGTCTGAAAATATACCAAGGACGGTTCTAAACTGTATACTTGAAAAATAGGTAAAGCCATACAGCTGCAGTTCCAAAGTCAACAAAAATATTAAATGTAGAGTTAAAAATTCGGCAGTTTGCCATGGGAGCGCCCGCTGGAGGGTTAAACCACATCGCCAATTTTTCTAAATTATACAATATGGACAATTCAGTTTAATTTGTATGTTTTTAAATAAAATCCTTAATCTATTTTTTTACATTCATGGGTTGTGATGAACCGGATGAATATTCCCATAACATTCCGCTATATTTAAATTTTGTCTGATATAAACAATTTTTTGTGCCCTTTCATTTGTTAGTCGATTTCTTTTATTTGTATGGATATTTCCATACGTTGATAAGCTTCGTTCTGTGGCAGCAGTTTGACGGTGGGCAGTTTAATACTTCTACAGCTACTTTGTTGTTTAACAAATTGATTTCCACCAAGTCACTGCTGACATTTTTCCATTTTTTAGACTGGTCCATACAAAGTCTTTAGCAAATAGGGCTTCTTTAGATCTATAAAAGGCAATACTTTTCTGCAAGTAAATTCCAGCTAGCTGTCATGTTCCTTTCATTGTTTGTTGTAATTGACATAACTTTTTCCAAGCCTATTTCATCAACTACTTCGGATATAATGTTGCACATGAAAGTTGCTTCATGACGAACTGCTTTTGTATCTACTATTTTATATAACACAGGCTCAGGTGTGGTAAGAATAGGATTACTATATTACAAAATACAATTTCCTGACATTCCTAATGAATATTCCAAAAAAATTTTTAAAAATCCGGACAAAATAAAACTTCAACTTGAAGTAATTACTACATGTTTTATTTAAAAAAGTACCTACATACCATCAAAAACTAAGAACAAACAGTTCCTCAATTAAAAAATCTTGGAATTACCGTAAATAATAATAATAATAATATTAATAATACTACTACTTAATAATAATAATAATACTTTCCCTAACTCACCCCCTTATGAGTGAATTTCAACCCCTGAAGTCGACTGAACGACTTGTGCAGGGGAAGGGACGGCTATTATTATTATTATTATTTGCCGTGGCGCTCCGGGGCGACTTAAAGATTATTGATGGTGCCATTTGACTTACAGGCGAGGAAAACCCGGAAAACCTCACCCACAATCATAAATAGGACATTAACCATAGATTCATTGCGAATATTAGACCAACCATCAATTTGAATCCCTACAGTCTTAGCAGTATGAATTATTTCGTTCACAGACTTTTTTACATGATCATATTCACTGTTTAGTAATTTATTTGATAACTGATGCATTGAGGGAAGTTTTAACGAAGAGCAATTATCCAGTGCCTATTTTCACCGAAGGTCGGCGTCGCTTTCGCGAAATATGATAAATTAACAGAAAACGCCGCATAAAACGGTAAATAACATAAATTTTTTACCACAAAAATCGGTAATTTACCTTGTAAATTACTGTAATTTATTTCTGGTTAATTACGGTAATTTATCGGTAATTTACCAGTTTACATCTCTGATCAGAACTGTCTTAAAAAAAACTGTTTTATGCTATGTATAATTAAAAATCATGATTCCTATACTTTCCTTATTTGTATACAGACAGAAAAGTAAAAATATTTGAAAGTACTAGAAGATTTAAATTTACACGTTTTAAATATTTTTATTGATTTACTTTACAACAGTATTTATTTTTCAAACTCACATAAAAAATATGTACTGGAAATGTTAATTACTTTTTTATTCATCATATTTATGGGTTTAGATGGATTTAAAACGTTTTTTGAAAGCAAATAACATGAAATGTTCGCTAGTAAATACAAATATTTTATCAAAATTTTAAATTAAATTATATCAGAAAGTGAATTAATTTGTAATGAATGTACTCAAAAAGTATGCTTTCATAATCCTACATAATTTATATAGGGTGTCATTGAACATTTTGATGTAATGGTAGGTTGTTCCGAAGTGGGATGAAAAGTATGTAGAATTACATCTCCCTTTAGATTAAGCTGTCTCATACCACAAAAATTCAAGATCATAACTTACATTTTACCAAACATAAAGCCATCCAAAGTTGGCACGCAGGAACTATATACAAGGTGTTTCAAAAAACATGGCCAATGTTCGAGGGTAGATTTCTCACATAAAAAGACTCTTTTCATATCCACACAGGTCTGATTCTGCTTCATTTCGAATGTCTGTAAGTCTGGTCCTGCAAATCACATTCATTCGATCAACATATCAAAATTTCCCCCCAATTGAATGTTTCTAATCAATCTTTCTTGTGGTTTTTTAGATTTTGGGAAAAGATCTTATTTTTTTTTTAAATTCAGACTCCCTGTAGCTCCGAAAGGAATCAGAATCGGACCTATATTGATATAAAAAAAGTAATATTTTAATGTGAAGAATCTATCCTTGAACGTTGGCCCATATTTTTTGAAATGCCCTGTATAAGTTTTTTTATAAATGAGAAGTAGTTTTTTTCTATAGTGATGATGGTTCGGAATTATAATTTTTGTCACTGATAATAGGCTTAGAAAGCTGGATACTATAACTAATTTCATCCTCATAGTACTTGATTATGAAGTTCTTTTACTTTTTTTTGTAGATAAAAGAAAGTGATAAAATTTTGTTCAGTAACTGGTTAAATATTGTAATTATTTTTCTTCTACTTTTAATTAATTAAAAAAAAAAAGATTAAATGCATTCTTTTATATATTATGATATGGAAAATAAAGAATTATTAATGTTATTAAATATTTGTGATTTAGTAATAATTTGTCCAAGTTTCAGATGTGGATCAAGAATGTACGATATTTTCTGGAGTCACATATCTGGGAGCAGCTGCAATTAATGCTCCAAAATCCGAAGGTGAAATTCAACGCAATATTGCAATATTAAATGAGCAGAGCGTCGAACAAGGTATTAAAGTGGCTGTTTCTGTTCCTTCATCTTCTCAAGGGCTTGTTGTGTAAGTAGCTAATTAGTATTATATTGATAATGAGAGAACACATGATAGTATAAAATGTTTGTTTTAATTATCAATCATCAGAAGCCATATACTTACACCTAATTTATGAAAATGAACCAGTGTTATGGCAAACATTAACATTTTATTATTTTTAGAATATTTACTATTCTGCAATTTAAGAAAAGAAAAAGTTTATTGACTAATTAAAAATATGCTCTCAGAAATAAATAGGACAAGCTGCAAACATTACATTTTTTTTTTCTAAACCAATCCTGTACTTATCGCAATATTTGTATAGTCAGTCAATTATCTCTCTTCATTCCTTTAAACACCAACGCCATTCAACTTTCAGTACATTAAATCTAAGGGTTTGTTCCTACAGTGATCAGAAACGCGTTACTGACATTGGGATACTGTGCAGTTGATAATTGAGTGTTTCCACAAACATTTCTTACAATTTGCAAATATATTGTACACTGTTTCTACAAATGTCCCTGATGGTTTGCACTGTCAGAGTGGTTTGTGGACTATCCGAAAGTTAATTATCCAAACATGCAAGTTTCACTTTTCAAACTTCCATTGGTCACAATAGGTTTTATATACGCTCTTTGTTTATAATATCTAATGTTGCATTTGAGTGGTTTTCTTGGATTAACATTTATTTTCTTCCATTAAATGCTAATAATTAGCCCTGATAAACTTAAAAAATTAATAATATCAAAATATGTAACCAGTTATACATTTTGTCAGAAGTTCCAACATACTGTAATGCGAGCTATTTTATTATTCAGTTATGCTCTAATCCTCCAAGGCCCTCTTTGTCTTATTTGGCCTTTGAAGCTCAACTTGTCCCATTATCATACATAATTAAACCCCTTAAGACCAAACATATGTGACGTCTATGGCGGAGGTGCTTTAGAGTACATTCCAGAGTCAACGTGATAATGTTACTAGTGTTGGTGAGAATTGATAAGAAGATTCAAGTACCTTCGCCAAAATTTTAAATGTGTATATAAATATTGGTGGAGAAACACGGAGCAGTCAGTTGTATATAGTGGTGAAGATAAATAGTGAACAATTCAAAGAAATTCTAAATATATATATTATATAAATTAGAATAGTATTTTAAAAATAAATAAGTGTTCAAATAAATTATTAACAAATAAACTGTTGTTTAAAATAAACAAACGTCACAATACATTCTGATCAATCATAAACATTTTGAAAAATTTTATATGCGAGCTTTGTGCTTTGCTGACTTTTAGAAACGTATCACTGATTTGTTATTGGAACGAACCAAAGGATAGGAAACGCTTATAAGTGGGATTATCATCTTTCAATTCGGCACTAGTTGAGATGCCTCTATCCAACACGTAACGTGTTCGAGATCGCACATAAGAATCCCTGTCCAGCTCTAACGCAGTTACCATCTGACCCACTATGTATCATCGATATCAAACAAATAACGCATCGCGAAATTTGAAAACCTGATAATAAAGGTTGTATAAATATCGATTGCACTCTCATGTTCTGGTAAATACATTTAAACAATAAAATTACGCTAAATTATTTATTAAAAAGAATACTACACTTACAGTCCATTACCGATTAATTATTGCAGATCTATTCATGATAAATATTTTATAATTTTTGATCGTTATTTGTACTTTAACATTTTTGTTCTTATTTTCCAAACCAATGGCCAACGGTGTCTTATTTAAAAATGTTGAGTACAAACTAAATAATGTGAATTCAGTTATTTTTCTTCCTATATCAGATCTTATTTTCTTATTCTAAAACAAATAATAAATAAATACCTACTTAGCTACAAAAGTTGGCTACTATTTGTGTTACTTACATGGTTAGATCTTACTTTGGTAAATTAATCAAATTTCACATAAAAACAACTAGGTACAACAATTTCGCTTAGTTTATCTAGATCATAACCTTAGATTATACAAACCTTAGATGGAACATAAGACACTGCGCATAATCCCATTTCGAAATTATTCACACCCACCAATCACAGTTGAGAACATCACATGTCAGAGCGTTGTCCATCCAAATTTAATGTGTCAACGAGAATTAATTTGGTATTTTAGTGACTTAAATTTTGGAAATTAACGTTTAAAATACCAAGATGTGTTGTAGAAAGCTTTGTTTATAATAAAAGTGCGAAATGTGACGGAGATAAAAGAAACTTACATTTATTTCGGTGAGATATTTAATTTTTAAAGATTCTGTCGACGTCCATATTTGTTGATTTGAAAATACACAGAATCGGACTTGGTCATTGGTACATGTTATAAGTAGCAAATAAAGGTCATTTTTATAAACTGTTTACTATTTCTTGTTTCATGGTGAATCTGTTTTTAGGAAGTGGAAAGAGAAACATACAATCAAATACAAAAATATCAATTTCATTGCCAATTTATTCGTTTCAAACTTCACAACTGGTTTCAATAGTTTTTTTCAAAACTATTTATTTAGTATTTCTTTATAACAGGGTTACTTAAAGTGTGCTCCGTGGAGCCCAAAATGGAGGGACCTGGCTTGAGGACCTTTTTTTTTGAGAAGTAATTTTTTTAAGTCACTAAGAGGAAGGAGGATATGATTTTGCTTTAGGACTTTTATTTTATTTTTATGGGTGAAATGGATTTGGGATAATTCTTGCAAGGAATCTTTGGAATTAATCAAAAATAAATTAACAACAAATTATGTTCTTATGCATTTTCAGCCTGAGTTGCCGATTAAATTAATCGTAGATGCATCAAATGTGGGAATAAGGGCCATATGTCATGTTTTTTAAAAAAATATTGAGAAATCTATAGCTTCTGCATCGCGTACCTCATCAAAGTCAGAACAAAAATATTCCCAAATTGAAAGAGAAGGCCTTCCAATAATTTTTGGCTTAAATAAATTTAATGAATATTCATATAGACATTTATTCATCCTAGTTACAGATTACTTACCTCTGGTAACTATTTTTAACCCAGCTAAAGGTATACCCCAATTTTCAGCCAACAGACTACGTAGATGGGCAGTAATATTGTCAAATTACAATTATAAAATTGAATAATATGTAAAATCGGAGTCTAATATGAAGCCGATTTTTTATCACGTTTACCTTGAAAGTCAAAATGAGTCAAACTGAAGAAAAAAATTTGAAAAATATTTTTTAAATTATGTGTTTAATTTGTTGAGGGCCCCGTCAAATATTGCGCTTTTCAAAAAGGTTCCGTCCCCAAAAAAGTTTGAGAAACACTGCTCTATAATAATATGGGATCCATCCATTTAATTACATTTTATTTTCTCTAATTTTGATATATAAAGTAATATATTTTATAAAGTAGAACATTATGCAACTGAAAAGTTGATTATGTCACCAGTTACGAAATGAAAATAAATAAAACTGCCTCTTTTTTGGTTTTTAAGTCGAAAAATCGAGAAATAGAGTAATCGAAAAATCGAAAAATAAAAAATCGAAAAATCAAAAAAACCAAAAATCGAAAAAACCAAATATCGAAAAAAAGCCCGAACACCGTTATTGAAAACTGCCCAGAAATGTTGGGGGTAAAATTTTGACGTACTCCTTTAAGGATAATGGGTAAAAATGTTTTTTTTTCAAATTTCTCGCGGGTAATGTCAAAAATCAGATCGACAACACTGCACATGTTCCTTATTTTTATTATTATTAAAAAAAAAAAAAAACGTCGTAGAGCAATCAAATACAACAATTTTCTGAAATATTTGATTGGAAGTACCTACAAAAGAATGCTGGTGAATTATTTTTCAACACAATTTTATAAATAATCAAGACAAAATTAGAAAAAATCTTGTATGTAAGCACGTTATCAAATGCCGTTTTGTGTAACTCGTTCATTTTGCAGGACCTCGCTCCGCTCGTCCCGCAAATATTTACTCGTTACACAAAATAAGGCATTTCGTAACTGGTTACATAAATAGCTATTAATTGACTTCCTAATATTTTAAATCATTGAACGGTATTTTCCGTAAATAATTAAATCATAAATAATTACCGGTATATAAGTACCAAAACATTTTTTTTTCTTCGAAGAATAGGCTTATGTTAAATAAACTTAAAATATAACGAACGAAAAGGTAACCCATTTCTAATAAAATTTAATTATTTATTTTATTTTGGTGTGATCGTAGAAAAAATCTTGTGTGTATTCGGCAAAAAGTACTTTGGCTGTTTCGATAACTTTTTGTCTCAACAAGTATTTTGTTACAATAATTTTATAAACTTCTACTTAGGGTCAATTTCACGGTTTTGTTAAACGAAGTTTAAAATACTAAACGAAGATTAAAATTACATTTTTATATTAACAAAAATAAAGTTTAAATTACTAAATGGAGTTTAAAATGACATTTTTACATTAACAATGTCATTTTAATTTTCACTTAGTAATTTAAACTTCGTTTGACACAACGGTGGAATCGCCCCTTAGCTAGTTATATATTGATAAAGTGTTATTGCCCTCATCATAAATGAATCGTGCTGATAAATAAAGTCAAAAAAAAACGTGTTATAATTTTTCATCTTTTAGTTACCTACCAAAATTAGGTACTACAATACAAATATTTAAGTCCGGCCCAGAACATCTCCCTACTCCTTCCACCCAGTTTTTCGGTTTTGGCAAAATTCGCGCAGTGACAAATGCTTCCTATGTTACCTCTACCCTTTCTAACCTCTTTGATCATAACACAATCATGAACTCAAAATTTACAAACTGTCAACTGTTGTCCACGTCTACAAACGACGTGTACCTTTAGTTAACATCTCAGACGCATAGATGACGCCATCGTTGCTGCGGCCGTGGCGAAGAAAATTTACATTTTAATAAGTAATTTAGAGGGTATTAACATAAAATAACAATTTTAAATATATTTAACACAAAGATTTGAATTTCTAGATTTTACTAATTTATAAAATAAAATAGACTAAAAAAAAAAAGAATTTGACTTTAACCCGGATT